CAGCTCTACTCATAAATATCAGCTTTCAGTGCTTGTGAATATTTTAAGCCTCAAAGACAAAAATGAGATCAGCATGAAAAGCTTCAGCTGGCAGTTTCTCACTTTCCTTTTGCTTCCCTGTAGGAAAACTTACTAAAGGGTCATTTACGAACAGCTGTCTCCAACAGAGTAGTTGAAGAGCAGGCTTGAAATTCTTGATTTACTGTTAAGTCTTTAGAAACAATTGGCATTATTATTATTATTTTGATTGGCTCCTGAACTGCTGCTTTGACTCTAATTAAAATCTTCCCCAAACCTCCATCATCTGGACTGATATATTGTGGAGCTGACAGAAAACTGTATCCTTTTCAGCTCCCTACAGAGAGATGGAGTGGGCAAACAGGCAGAGGTGATGGGAACAAGTAAGCTACTCTTCAGCGCTTGGATGGCAAGCAACAACTGAGGCGAGAACAGGCCAAAAGGTCCTGAAGCAGTGAAAGGCTGGAGGAAGAGCAGGGCTGTTCAACCAGCCCATGCCCTTAAGAGGACTAATGAATTCCATCCAGTCTGTGCTCCTGGGTGCATGGGACCAGCCAGTGCCCTGAGCACAAGTGTGCATGTCATGCACCCCAGCTGCACACCCCTCCTCTCCTGTGCCAGCTCCGGTAGGAAAGCCCTGCAAATGGACAGGCACTGGCAGCAACTGGCAGACAGGCTTTAGTTTTCTTCAGTGTAACAAGAGACATGCAAGCTTGTCCCTAGCAAACTAGGAAAAAGCTGAAACTTGTTAGCTCTGGGAAATGTGGGGCTCTGCACCTAAGAACAGCTCATTTAGAGAAGTGTTAGCTTTTTGAACATTACAGTCCTTCCAATCCTTGCATGTTCCTTGCAGAAGAGGTATATTAATAATATTAAGATGATACACATGAAAGACAATCATTCACCATATCAGACTATAACACCTATGAAATGCAAAACTCGTACGGCTTGATCTTTGCTCAGGACCTATGTATTCCACTGAAACCGAATGGATTTTTTTATTAGCTCACCTCTTCTTAAAATCAAATCAGAAAACTAGTTACAAAACATATACAAACTATGGGCTTGTAACCCTTGTGCCCAGCATCAAGATATCAGTTGGATTCATGATACAACTGGATGTTGAAGTCCCATACTGTTTTTACTAACATTTGGCAAAATTACAACTAAACGCATTAGTTCAATCAAGACACATTGTGTATCTGTGTACTCATAGCTGTACCTTAAGATGCAGTGCGTGCCTAAAATAAGAAAAAATGCACTGTTGTTTGTTTTTTGTAATATAATTATGATACTTTAAAATGCAGCCTGTGTACAACAAATTAGTATCAACAGATGTTTGTCCCTGGGTCACAGGATTAGAGATTAAGTAAATTCTCTTTCAATCAGTAATTTTTGTCCGTGTTATTTTGTTACCATTGAACAAGGAATATTCTATGATTAATATTCCTGTCAAGGATTTTCAGACTTCAAGTTCACAAGGCAACAAAGTGAACTCACAGCTCATGAGGCAACTGAGTGAAATAGTTTGCTTTGTGTATCATTTGCATGGCTCTTTCTACAAGCTATCTACAGTTTCAGCAGGGATCTTTCCTCAGCAAGGAGTGCAAAACCAAAAGCATTTTACACCTAGCACAAAAAAAAAAAAGCAAAGGTTTAATTAACACCTTCAGGCGCTTTCAAATGTGTAAATTTAGACAAGTAAATACCTTCCTCACAATACATACAACTGTAGGTAATTCCTTTTTTTCAACAAATCTATAAGGCAGTCATACTCCAATGCAATCCGTGCTCATCACTCATCAGGGATATGATCATGAACAGCTTCTGCAGAACTTGCCATAAACAACAACAGCTTACATCCCTAGACCTGGCTGTAGTCTTAGTTAAAATAAGACAGGTGGGAGCTGCTGAATTAGAATCAGAAGTCTGAAGTACCATCAAAGCATCACAGGTGGCTATTTAGAGATGTAGTTTGGTTTTAGAAAACTTAGGACAAATAGGCTGGCATTCAAATTTACACTTTCCAGGAGTCTGAAGTAGGGATGTAGCCTAGGACTTTGCTTTCAACTAATGCCCAGGGTCAAAACTACTTCAAAATCATTGCAGTTTAGTGTTGAATACATTAAATCAAATAAAATTAAAAGAGGTAGGAATAAGATACTTTCAATCAGGCCTTTTTCTAGCTTCTAAAAAGAAAAAATCTTCTTACTCCATTCTCTTGGTCCTTTCATGCCTTAAATTCCTGGCTGCTAGCTAAAAAGAAGGGCAGATCTTTTGCCTCTGAAATTCAGATGTCTCACCCAGCAGATGACTGTGGAACATGTAAGAACTCTTCTCCCACTCAGAGTTGAGTTTCAACACTGTCTTTTGACTTCTATGGCTGCTTGACTTCGGAGCAGAAAAGATTTTCAGCAGTCCCTCCCCCAAAATGTAACATGTAGGAAGAAACCCACAAGAACTTTCCAGTCTGGCAACAAGTTCCTCCTGATTTCAGGTGAGAAATGTGCAGTTTGGGATGGTGAACAGTCTACTCCTCTTGTATTTGGTGCTGTGCTGTAACAAGCACATGTTGGTAATACAGCCCTGGCTCTGTCTAGGGATTAGAAGCCCTTTGGGTCCAAGTGCCCTGAAAGCAAGAGATTGCAGGGTATTTAAGTCTGGACACTTCTCTGCTGTAGCCTACTCTGTTGCAGTCTACTTATGGCCAGCTTCCCGTCCCTGATGAACTGAGCAGAGCTTGGGACAACTGCAGAAGAACAGTGGTATCAGAAATAAGGTTACTGTAGTCTGCTGAGAAACTTAGTGACTGCATCAGGGAATTAATCAAAACAGTTGAGAGTCTGAAGGTCACCATCAGACTGGTATACCTTCATCAAGTTCAGTTGATTTTTCTCAGCTTATCCCTCTTTTTCCACTAAAATTCACCAGCATCTACAAAGAGCCTTCCACCACAAGGACAGGCAGGTGGCCACCAGGGCTTATATGTCTCTCTGAAGTACTGCTCCTGAGAAGGATTTTCCTCTATCGGACTGGGACCACTCAAAATTGTGATGTGATGGACTCTGTTATGAATCTCTGAGAATGGGAACTGTGTGCTCAGAAGCAACATGCTACTGTGGTTTTTTTCCAAATGTGTTGGTGTGTGTCTCTCTCTCCATGCTTTGCTTCACCTGAGCTCCTTTACAGAAAGGCATGTCTACAAAGATCCTGAAGCCAGGAGAAGGAAAGTGAGGAAAATTAGAGTGCTGTAAAATGAAAGCATTATCCTGGATGACCATGAGAATGACTAATGTCTAGTCTAAACCCCTACTAACCTCCATGCCAACAAATAATCCTTCTTAGGTATATTCTTCCATTTTGCTTCCCATCCCTCCTAGACTTTGTGGTAATCTATGAGCACTAAGCTTTTGCATCTAAATACTTTCTCATGTGGCAAACCCTTTCATGGTTTTTAATTTTGTTTTGCTACTATTTGTTTAAATGATAGAGAAGTGATCACAGATCCCCACTCCACAATCACAGTGGAGTAACCATCAGGATGAATTATATCTTGCTTTTAAAGAATGCTGTTTAATGTTGGTTTGACAGGTCTGTAGACAGTGGTACCTTGCACACAAAAGGAAAATCGCCTACTTAAGCTTTGCATTGACTCACAACGAAATGACTCACAAAAAAAATTTGATCTAGAGAGCCCTTCTCTTAGTATACATTCAGTCCTCAAGCTCTCTGCCATGGCTGCCAATAAGTACTCCAGCCCCTGCCAACTGGAGCCATAGTTATGCGATTTGGACAGGAATTTCTCCACTAGAATCTGGATAAAGCCCAATAACTCATTTCACGCCGGCCCACAGCCATCAGATGGTAATGACTTTTGGGCACTGCTCTGATTCAACGAGTCTGGTAATATAGGAGGTGAAAAGCTCTGTATTCTGTTACTCTCTATTCTGTGGTCCAAATCTTAAGCCATCCTGTTCCCAGAGGATGAATAATTAGCAATAGTTATCTTAACAGATTGATTTCTGCGCCACAGCTGTGTGATTTATGTGCTGTCTATGCAGTGAAAAAGCAGATCTTCCATGACCTTGCATGGGTTTGTCAGGAGAAAAAGGCAGACTTGCTCCTTCCTGAAACAGATGCAAAGGGTCACAAAAAAGTCTGTTCAGAAAAAAAAAAAAAAAAAAAAATCAGAGTGCTGTGTTCTTCCTACATAAGGTATTCAAAGCCTCAGATTAATGCAGTACCATCCATTCACATTTTCCCAGGCCAATAACAACATTTGGCTAGCAA